AGCTAGCTAGTAGCTAGCAGCCGGTGAGGGTCGGCATGGGCCTAATTAGTCAGCTTCTAGCGGAGTTCTTGCCGTTTTTCACATTTTGAAAGTAGCGCAGCCTCAAAAATCGCCTTCCGGATCGTCCGACACATTTGAGAGGTCATAGCCTTATTTTATCGCGGAATGTGCCTTTAAGTGGAAACTAGATTTTCTGTTCACCTCTACTTTTAATCTTAGACGGCTAGGTAGAATAAGAACAGTTTGAAAATGGGGTCCAGTGACAGTTCAGTAGATCAGAGGAACTAATCTGAGGGGATTCCGCGAGAACACGCAGCCGTTACCCATTAGTGAGTAATCCCTTTCATTACTTCAAAAGAAACAAGTCACGTGACGACTTCCTAGTTGGAAGTTCAGGACTTCTTAGAGTTTCCACAAATAAAGAGGAAAACACTCATTAGGGATTAAATGCATGAAGCTTCAATGATTATGTTCAAGCATTGTCATAAAGTGTTTTCTAATGAGCAAAACTCACAACGACAGCATCAGGTCGAAGGAAGCATAGACGATTTGACCTGATTCAGTGTTCGGTAGAAAATAGCTAAATGTTAGCAGTAGTAAGCCTCCAGGCAATGGCATCCACGCACATAATCCAACTGCGGCATTCTTTATTATCTGTAAGTGATAAGATAAGACTTTCGCCCTTGTCAGGGCTCTTAGTATCCCACTGGATTTTGAAGTACGGCCACGAGATCGCCTCAGTTGTTCCTTCATATTCGCCTTTTTTGAATTACCTTCCTTTTCTCCAAAAATAAGATTTCATGAGAGATGGGAAATATTGCCGCAAGACTTTCCAAACTTCGAAAAGAGTGAACTTGGGAAATAGTGCAGCTCAACTTTTTTGAGCTCTACTTCATGTACGACGTGGTACCAACACGTTCTTACGCAGATCGAAAACTACTTTGAATGCCTGTAGGATTGCAAGCCGGAGCCATTAATTAGTACCCAGCGCTTAGCCCTCTCCTAGTGAGTGTATACGTTGTGTTGACCCATAAAAATGCCTTTTTTCTACACAATTTCTATATGTAAAATAAGAATCAATCCTAATGCATTCTATGCTTTTTTGATAGATACCTCTTTGCTCTTCAAAATCATATGACTGCAGTCCCTTTCTTTATTGATCTTTGCCAATTACTAAAACATTGAAATGGAATGTCGGGTCGATGCAAGTATGAGTTTTTGACAATAACATTTTGCGCTCGATCTGAGCTCTCAACTGCAGAGGAAGCTCAGAACATGTGATGTATACAACAAGAAACGGTGCTCTCTGGGGAGGCTTGAGATTGCTTCAAACATTTAAAGACGGGAGTTCAGACCTTCTGAATATGCATAGGGCGCTCTATTGAAAAGCGATTGCGTGCAGAATCCATCCACCAAGTTCTCCATCGAGAGGAGGTGATGCTCCGCGAAGAAGGTGATCCAGTAGGCTCTCAGAGTTGAACTCAATAGAGCATTAGATTAGATGCTCTTCTGTGGAGTCCAAGTTGAAAATACCAAATTGCTTGAACCGCTATAAGCCTCTCCAAAATAAGTATCTTCTCGGCTACACACGGTTTATACGGTTTTCGCTTTCGAATTATATGTGAAAAAGAGAAGGTTGTCGAAAACTCCCGATTTTCGATCTAACACTCCAATTTTAGCAATTAAAAATCAACGGGAAATTAATCTCCAAAAAAAAAGGCGGCCATCAAAAAGGGCAAAGAATTTTATGCGAAGTAATGTAAAGCTCAAAGGCGGAAAATTTTCATTTTTAGCGCGAAATTCCCAGTGTGAGGAAAACGCCATTGCTTATGAGTCAACCAAATGTATTTATCCATCTTCCATCAAGAGATTTCGGGTGTAGGTCAGGAGACCCACGCTGATAGCTCCCCGCATAGTCAGCGGCGCGGCACTTCTGCTGCATGATCGGGTCTGATCAGTATTGTCAAACTCCCTCCTCTCGTTCGACGGATGTTGGCAATCGTTGAGGAAAAGCTTTTACGACATGCTTGTCCGTTGCCCTGGATTTTAAACCTCCCTGCTCAGGGCACGCCATTGCGTTGTGATCATTTCCTGAAAAATACGACCCCCCTAATTCCATCTTCAAGTACGACCCCCCTCCCCATGCTACCTACCACTTTCCTAGATTTTCCCAACCTCCTACCACTTTGTCCATTTGTTCCCGAAAATTTTCGATGTTTCGCAAAAATTTTAGCTGTCGAGGGGGGGGGGATGAGGTGTGCAGCAGCCCTACGTACAGTCCTCATCATTGCAGACCGGTGGGGCGGGTGAGCCGCGCCGCGTGTGACTCGGCTGTGATGACAGTCGCGTCACAGCCGAGTCACACGCGCCGCCCCACCGGTCTGCAATGATGAGCACATATGTCCAAAGCGTTCCAGCACTATTGCACCTGGTTGTAGCATAAGAAGCGCGTAACGAGGAAGGGGCGATGATAGGAGCTACGGTCACCGCCCACAAGGGCACCATGAATTTATAAACAAACAAAAGGACTCACGACGTGACGATTAATAAACAGATGAAAGTACATTCCCGGACTTTTCTGATCGTAGGAGCACATGTGCTTGCACTTGGGAAGCCCCTATCTAGAAGTTACACCTTCCAAACTCCTGCGTGAAACCCCATGCATGGCGCATTGGCGAGGTGATGCCAATTGGCGTCCAATGGACTACTTCCTAATACCCTTTGCGGAAACATGTGCTTCAGAAGCATACCAAACTCTTAAAACCCACTGGAGGTTTCATGGCCTCGGAGATGCTGATTTTTCGTGTCGTGGAGGAGCGGTCACAAAATGATCACAACGGGAAATTTTTCGAAGTAGAGCAGGCCTAGGGAGAAAATTAAAGTCCTTGCTGGAAAGTAGAAATCTTCAGGTTTCCGACGCTATCCTTCTTTTTACGAAAGGCCGTGTATGAAGCTTGCCATGGACGTCCGAATCGTGGCGACTCGCGGTCCAAAAAAATGGTCCGTCAAGGATCACACACGGGATCACAACGGGGAGAATCTCTAGAATCGGAACGTTTTCAAAAATCGGCTTAATATAAGTCGACAAGAGCCAACCATCTCCCTACTCATTCCTACTTTCCCCTCTCCGATAGCTTCACTTTCAACGAAGTTATGAGCGTTCAAATGAGGGGTACTTTTCCAGCGTTTTCGAGCGTTTGGCTTGAAATTGGCTTGAGGCCCAAAAATAGCGCGCACCAATGAGCTTGTATTATTAGCGTGGGAATTAGCACTACTCGCGTGCGGCGCGTGCGGCTGACCGCGAACAACTAGCATTTAAAGTTAGTGAGTTATTTCCTTTCGTTTGTTTTTGTTTGTTTTTAATGCTTTTTACATTTTCGTTTTAGTTTCTTGGTATTTTCTAGTTCTGTGATCTAGTTTTCGCCACTACTGAACTATTCCCACCCCAGTCTGTCGAAATCAGGCCGCTCTTTTATTGGTTTTTTTTCTAGAAGGCCAGATTTGGCTGAAAATTTGCACACAGTGGTACTTCGACCCACTGAACACGAACATCATATCCGCTTCGAATCAATTTTCGTGATTTTGGGGGTTTTTGGCGCCGCGCCAGGAAACAACCGCCGCCTATATACCTTAAACCACCAAAATCGATGAAAACTTGTGTTCAGGGGTTATTTGACATCCTGTTTTCAAATATGACATTCATTCTTGGCGCCAGCGTCGACGTACGTCATCAGCGCTTTGTCGAGACTGAGCCTGGCCTTAGAGAAATCATTCGTTTTCCCAGTTTCAGCCTCAGCAGAGCGCCTAACATGGAGGTGTGGAGACATGATGTCATACTCGTGATCAGGACATCTGATACCATCTATTACACCCTGAATCTCGAGAACGCATAAATTGTCTGATACCAATCTAACCGAAGCTTGTGTAAGACCACTTTGGTTTCAAAGTACGAGAACCGGAGTTAAATGGAAAAAGTACTACGTTTGTGTTGCGGCCTGTTTCATCTCACTGGGCCTAATGGATGTATTATATTTGCAGTCAGTTTTTTATTACCTGCCCTCAGATTGCCCACCCTCTGGTATCGGAAGCAATTCTTTTATTCCCAGCTCTCCTCTGGCAGCGTTGTTCACTGCCTCTCTCTCACTTCGAACAGTGGGCCAATGCGCATTACGTATAAAACATCCCCCTCCATGCGGGCAAATACGACCCCCCTGTTGTGATGATTGCACAAATAGGCGTGCCGCCCTCCTGCCGCTGGAGGTCTAATATTTTCTTGCAGCTGGCTGGAGCAAATCCTAATAATAGAACTCATAGTTTCATTCTGTCTAGACTAGACAAACGAATCAATGTCAACTCATACCTTGAGCACGCGTAGTTCTGCGACCGTTGAAATCTTGTGCTGAGTTCGTAGCAGTTGGGGTTTTTCATGACGAAGTCTCTTTGAGTCGTCGTCGATCACGTCGATACAACTTTACGAACACGATCGCGAACACGACGGATACACTGGTAGAAAACAGCACCATTCTATCAATGCCTACAGATCCTGAAATAAAATGAGACTGCGAACATTGTGAAGCAGTGGAATGCTTTTCAAATGAAAAATGTAAAAGTCAGCGATTTTTGAAAAACGGCCGTATCTTCGATTTTAACATAGGTGTTTCTGTCTCGGAGATATTGCTGTCTCAGTTACGAATACCCTTCCTGCCTGCCTTCTTTGCCCGTATTTTAGAAAGAAAAGAAAAACTCGAGAAGGAACTTGCACTAGCGATGACTCGCAAGTCAGCGTTCAAATTCGCAATGACGTGCGCCGACGCGCAACGAAGCGCTGCCACTACAATCGTGCCGCAATGCTATAGACGGAAGCGCGGCCATAGACACATGTCAATCGGCCCCAAGTAGTGTTCTGAGAGATTATGGGAAAATATGAGGGTACCAAACAGTCTGACTGTAACAAGTGTTAAAAAACTAAGGACGGAAGGTTTTCGAGTAACGAAGGTGTCGCCCTTGCACAGCTTCTAATTCTTGCCGTGCACATAGCGCCTAACAAATATTATTCTCGGATGAGAGTGTAAAGTTGCCCTTGAGTTGACACTAGGGTGAAGTATTGAGACCCTTTCATGAATACTGCCAACAATCTGGATCTATTCTAAACAGCCCCTCAAAATGTCACAACCTTCGTTCTTACGTCAATAGTTCCAACTTCTTCTATAGATACAGGACAATATTTAGAGCAGGAAAGGTGCGAAAAACGATGCTATGTGAATCAGATGGATAGGCGGTCGGGGTCCTAGAGAAAAAGCTCGAGGGTGGGTGAACAACTTCTATCGTGTAACGATTCATCTACTCTGGAGCTTTTCTTTCCCAAGGCTCGTGCGAGAACCTCATTCTCTCAGATCACAGTCACACCTTAGCATCGTACCCTTTTTTTCTTAACGCTTTTGGGTTCATTCCCGGTGTCACGGCCTCATAAGAAGCACAGGGGGGGGGGGCGGAGCAAAAAAGACACTTTTCTTCCTGGACTTTCAAGTGGACATTTCCACCACCATATTCAACAGCACATTGTACACTATCACGATACTCCGCCACAGCCTTCTGGACGAGCGCCATCGAGAGATTCTGCCACGCGACCGTGATTCGGTGCCTGAGTTCAGCGAGGTCGTTGATTTCTCCGCCACTGTAGACCACCCTGTTGAGCTCCGCCCGAACCCGGTAATCGAGGGGGTTTAGGTCAGGTGACACACTTGGATATTCCATCTTTCAGGTACTCAACGCCCTTCCATTCCAAGTAGGCGAGAGTTTTTCCAACGCCCTTCGATTCCGTGTGGAGGCACCCAATCCTGTAGCAGTACGAAGTTTCCAAGAAGGTACAGGCGATGACATGAAGGCAGGATATTCTCCTCGAGTTGTCGATGTAACCGTCAGCGTTCACTTTCAGTCCGGGTCCACGAAGAAAATATCGGTCTTTCCATTCCAGGAACTTCCGGTCCATACCATCAACCCGCGCCTTGGCGACTGCGGTGAAGATGATATCCTGGACCGTAGCGACGTTGTCGGAGCTGCTCGATGTTGGGGCCTTTAGATCGACATGCCAGTCCCCAGGTCAATGGGTGGCTCGATACAAGAAGTTTCGCAGCTGCTTGGAGGTGACGTGAATTCCTATAGGCCTTCTCCAGTCAGGTGCGCTGGAGATGGCTTCATATTTTGGTGTACATGAAGGTGATGGACGAGAGCTGCTCCTGCTTATCGAGGAACATCTCTAGTATCTTCCGCTCTAGTACTCATATCCACGTCCCCTCTCTGTGCTGCGTAAACTTTACTGATATGCGACTCAGCCAAAGTGTCTTTTTTTGCACCCCCCCCCCTCCTGTATGGTGCCGCTAAATGAGATCTGCAAGTGTTCACAGGTCCTTCCAAAATGGTCCACTCTGATGACGTGAATGAAATGCCCCTTCTACGAACACATCTAGAACCATAGCCAATGTGGGCTTTCGACCAGTTTTTGAAGCATTTCGGTGAGTTTACCACTGTAAGCGGCCGGATATCTTACGCTAACGGGACAGCTGTTTCACTTAAAATCCGAAGAACCATCAAAATGCCAAAGTAAGTAAGTAGCTATTCTAACCCTCACCAAAGATCATTGGAGTTGTGTAGCACACGGCTAGAGAAAATGAAGAAGTCAGTGCTACGGCGGCTACCCATGCACGGGATTTTGTCTCATAATCATCGATGTAGTATGAAGCGACAAGACGTTCGATCAGCATCGATGGCAATATAGTAACAAAATGCATCTGAGAAAGAGGCTTGCATAGCAGACGGTCAAGAAGACCGACGGGAATTGAATTTCCTCTGAAAAATCAAGAATTGATGCGACACAAATTTTGGTAAGAGGTTCTAAGTGTACAGATGGTCAATATCTCCTAATGAACGTAAACGAATATTGCAGGAAATCCTCACTGAGGGCGAAACCTACATATAAAATAGTCAGTTCTCTCTATCCAGATAAGCCGTCCACGCAGTCCAGATATTTCCCTCCCCCTTCGCTCAAATATTATATATCCCCTAGTGGGATTCTCCCACTGGTGCTGCATTCTGTCCCAAAGGTGTTGCCTGTGGTAAAGTTATGGACGTTCAGATCAGAGGTACCTTTGCATTTTTTTGCCGATTTCTGAGAATAGTATGCTTCAAACGTGATCTACGGAATGTCAGTAGTAATAGATACACCATACCATCGAACTTATAGCAGCTTGTTCCGACGGGGGAACCGCACCGAAACCATATTCTGAAGGGGTCCCACTGATACCAGCATTTTCCTCATCGACTCAATGTAACCTATGCTGACCAGCTCTTGGGCTCTAGAAGAAAAACCCACCATCGACTCGGATGACATTCAACTCGTAGAAAATCACAACCAAGCGGACAATCTGCAGCGAATAGTAACCAACGTAGTGGCACTAAACAAGGCGTGTTTGTGAGTTCAGTCATTTCAATGGTTATGGACACCTTCTGGGCTGGATATTTCCAAAAATCTGTGGAAAATAATGAAAACTTGCCTTGGTGATAATAATCAAATTACGATGGAATAGAGCAGTTTTATCAAGGGCGAAGCAAAATTTCATGAGAATAGGTGCAGTGAGGAGTGTTATGGTAAATTCGATGCAGTAAAATATATAAAAAATAGGGTTAGCCTCGAGTGATTGGATCTGACGCAACAACGAGTGGGAATATTGGATTTCCAAAGATCGGATATGTGACTTTCATATTCCTACATGAGAGATAAACTTAGTTTGAAGATACACGTCATAAGCAAGACGGCGAATTCTGAGATCAAAACAGAAAAAAACGGATTAACGAGACATATTTAAATGCTTAGTATTTCATGAACTGTTTAGCTTCGGTCAACCGACTTCCTCAAGCTTGAACTGAATGAAGCGAGACTGCTAGAGTACTCGACTGAAAACTTGAACTGGAAGACTTCTCATCAGGGTACAGCATGGGGATGTGTCAAATGGCGGTGTGAGTACGACCCCCCCCCTCGAAGAGGGTCCAGTTACGACCCCCCCCCCTCCTGCTCTAACTGACAACCAGATGCATGTTCACACCAAATGGCTTCCTGAAATGGAATCTGGATTTTCGAAAGGCGGACTCTGCTCTAAAATCCAGGCAATAATAGGCTAATTGTAGGCAATGCGAGGCTGTTGTTCAGCCTCATGCGATATGAGGCTGAACAACAGCCTCGCATTGCCTACAATTTTATCTTAGGATTAAAAATAAAACTCGTCGTTCGACAACCATGTGTAACTGAAGGCATAGACATGTAGGCTATGGGTACTGGATATGCAACTTGTAACAAGGAACGCAATCGAAACAGCGAATAATAACGATCATTGGTAAGCTAAATTGGTGAAAAAATAGCCCGTGTCAGGCCCCAGATGTGCATTCAATGAATGGTGACGGGGAAATCATGAAAACATGCACGACACAACAAAGCGAAACATGAAAAATACAAAAAAATGCGGAGCTAAATGAAAAAAAGGATAACCAGGCGGCAGTACATCGTTCTACAGTCCTCATCATTGCGGACCGGTGGGGCGTGGCAGTGCGGCTGCGTTTGGTGCGGTTTGGCAAAATCGTTCTGCACCAGTTTTTGAAGCGGGCAAGTGCATTACTGTATTATATCCTTCGTATT